ATCAACCGTTAGTGTATAAAATTTTTTTCGCGCCACCTTTGGAATATAAGGTTTTCTTTCGCGCCGCACTTGATGGGATATTAATTTTTATCCTCGCCGCACTTGGGATATGAATTATTACTTTCGCCACACTTAGAGTATGAATTTTCTAATTAATTGCCGTGTTAGTGTACATTTTTTTTCGCGCCACTGTTGGAGTATAAAGTTTTTTTTATCGCCGCATTTGGCCTATTATATGTCTTATATACAGATAGAAATTACATAAGAGAAAAAAAATATTTAAACATATTTTATAACTATAATTTTTTTTTATACAAAATTGTTTAAATGACTTTTACTTTCGATATATAATGCCATAGCAGAATTTTTCTTGCAACGTTTTTTTGTCTCAAGCGGATAAGATAAAAAAATTAATTTTTGTAACCGTGGTTCCATATTACGTAATTACTATACATTCGACTATCTCTCTTAATTTTGCCAAGAAAAAAATAAGTAATATGATCGTAAACTACGAGAGGATATCCGGTAGCGCCGGAACACTCCGTATATTAAAATTGAAGATTCTCTCGAGAAATAACGTCTTTCCACGACGATTCATGAGAGTTGGTCTTTCCGCACAGACGATATCTATAAACAAGGTAAGAAAAATAAAGAGTCATAATAATCCCACTGATGTAGCCGCGTGTTTATCTTTACAAGTAGCTTCACGATCAAAAATACGCAATGGCTGCGGTTTAAATGACGTGTATAATGCGTCAAGCGTGAGAAAAAAGCCAACTCGTAGTAATATATGCTGAAACGTTTCTGGTCCGCTCTACGAGTCAGTAATGAACTTAATGAGTTTTGGTATCGTAAGTGCGCTTCTTTCCGTGATTACGATCTCATAGCAAATGTGGAGAATCGCCGAGCGGAGATTTAATGAGCCGTTCACGTGCTCATGAATAACCATTGAAACCTGACGCGCGGGATAGAGGCCGAAATGTTTATTGCAAGAAGAAGGCCGTTTGTCTCATTCAAGAGTTCCAGCTTTCCTCGTTCTGCTATCAAATAAATCGACTTTTGAAAAAATTAGATAACGGCACTTTTCTTTTTATTTGTAAATCTGTCGTTAATTAAGTAGTCGCTGTTTATACTGATACACGTTTTCTTTAATCTTCATTGCAGTGGAATTGCTCTGAAATAAATTCGATCTCCGACGGAAGAACATATTTTGTAATCAGGGAGACGAAATTAATAAATTTATAAATAGTAGAAGAAGAAACTTGTCGCATTTGTGAAAGCAAGTTTGCACGCAGGAAGCATACACTGTAAAAAAATTTTGTAAAATTACAACTATTATAGTGGGTAATTTTGAGACCCACTAATAGTTGTAATTATAAAATATAATGGTTGTATTTTTATAAAATTACAGTACGGAAGGAAAAAGTAATTTTGTATTACAATTACACAAATTAAAAATGTGTGGAAATTTACACCTATTATAGTGGGTCTCAAAATTACCTGTAATTTTACAAATTTTTTTTACAGTGTATATTCCTCAAGATGTTTAGAATGAGTCGATAAGAGAAAACGCTCGCACAAAGCGACGTAGCGACAAACGTGGATAACTCTTTAATTATAGATAAAAAATTTATAATTATGCATTTTTTAAGAATCGTCTTGCACAAAATAATTTATTTATCTTTGTATTCTAATTTTTTATTATTTGTATTATACGGAAATTCAAATTACGTGGAAATAATCGTAATTTTTTTTATCTAAGCGACAACTTATACAATCAGACAAGCGCTCGTGAGATTATTTAGTTCATGAAATAAATGTTTGTTCTTGTGTATCGTTCATTTTGTGCCAAGTATGCAAGTTATAAATCATTGCGTCGAGAAAGTATTAAAAAGTTACCCCGATGACGCCACGAACTATCTCGTTTGACTATTTCGATTATACGCGTCGCTTTAATCTTTTAAGCCGATTAGAGGATTTCTTGTATGTACTTCCCCGTTTAATTTAATCGCAATGATGTGAAAATGTAAAAACACAACGCGTTCGAAATTCTCAGAAAATGACAATCTAAAAAACCAAAGACTGTTCAGGCAAAATATTATATTTCCTAATTTAAGACATTAATTCATGGCTACTTCATGCTGTGCAAGTCACGGAATTGCTGAGAATAGCGTTTTATAAAAACTGACAATGAGATAAAAACAAATTAATTTCAAGAAATTTGCGGTTCTAATATGTAGAACCATGATAATCCTTTTAGCATAAATAATAAGAATATTTTATCTATCGTGGATATAAGAGATTGCAGTTTATATTTAATATTTTTCTTATAAGTTTCCTTTAATTTTTTAATTTACATAACGCATCTTATTGATTTGTTCTTCGTAGAATATGCATTTCATGGAACTACATGGAAAAGAAAGATGCAGGGAATCTATCTGGAAGAAAATATAATCTTGATAATTCAACAATATAATATTAATGTAACAAATATGTCATACTTTTTTATAAAATAAAATGTTTTAATAAAATGTTTTTTATTTGTTTTATTAATATCGTTATTAACTTAACAAGATTATATCAATGTTGTATATTATTTGAATAAATTAAGGTGTTATAAACCAATCACAGAGCCGTATTAGCATCTTAAGACATTACTTAAGACGGTCTTGAAATAAGAACCGATTATGAATATCGGCCTCTTTCATTATCTAGGAGACCCAGACTCTCAGATATCTTATCTAGAAAAATATCCTACAATAAAGAAAGTTTTTATAAAATACAATACATTCAATCCTTCTTCGGCTCCGGTGGAGAGATTATTTTCATTTGCTACGATGATTAATACAGCCAAATATCATCGATTATCAGACATGTATGTTTGAAAAACGTATGCTTCTGAAAGCATTTTTAAATAAAAATAAATCAAATAAAAAATAAACTTTGATAATAATTACTTTTAAGTAATTTTTTTTAAACCAACTAAAAGAAAAACATTCTGAAATCTACACTTTTGGGAAACTAAAGTTGATTATGTACCTTTTTCATTAAATTTCTCTTTTTCTATTTATAAATAAGATTAGTTTTTATGTTGTTTTTTATTTTATTAATTAAAACTTATAACACACAGATTTTTATTAAATTAAACTTTTATTTTATTAATTATAAATTTATTTAATTTCTTTGTTTTAATTTATTTAATGTTAAAAATACTAATTAATTGATTAACTAATAAATTAACTAATTAATAAATTATATTACAACTTTACATTCACGAGTGAAGACTTTAATTTTTACTTTGTGCATCATTTTTCGTTATCGATTTTTTTTATTCGTTACATTTTTCGAATAAAAAAGATGAATTACGAATAAATTATTCTTGATTATTTTATTCGAATAACAACACGAATAACGAATACATTTATTTTATTCGTTATTTTTTATTCGTTATTCAGAATAAATTTTGCCCAACACTGAATTATATACAGTTAAACTAATGCTGTTAATATAACATTGTTTTCTTTTCTTATACACATATCGTGATTAATACAGATCTATAATAAATAAACATAATTGCCTCATCATTTATAATACGCCTCGATGGGCAGTGAAGTAAGAATATGTTAAGAATGCAAATTAGTAATTATTAAGAAATTATGTTTTGTTCTTGCCTTGTAACTTACGGGAAAATGGGTATTATAATTTTTTCAATATTGACTCATAGGTATTTTATGCCATACACAGACCTAGTCTATTTTACATGCATACTACATCTATTCTATTCTAGAACTACGTAACATGTAATAAATATCAATCGCTGTAACCGTTTCCTCTATCGCCTATGTATTTCCAAGTCCTAGATTACTGTAATCTACAAAATTTGTCCCTAATATTTATACTTTTGCATTAGCACGTTTAAAATACACATATAATTACTCGTTCAATATTTCTCGGATATTAAAAAACATTAGAATCTTAAAAACAATACTGAATTCTGTATTAATATTTTTAACTTTTTTTTCGAGAGATTATACATCTGTTTCCTTATACAATAATTTGTGAAAATAGAAAAATCACAATTATTTTTGACAAAGTGAATACCTCTTATTACGTATTATTAACGATTGACACAAGTGATAAATCTATGAAATAACATTAAGATTCATCGAGATAAATCCGAGCTGAAGGCTGCAAATGACCTTCGTAAATATTTTACATTATCGGCTTATTGTTAGATGTTGTCATACCTTGTAGCTGTTTGAACGGGTAATTGTTAAACCATTGACAATGTCAATGACCAAGCACATATTTAGTCTATTTAGCACATCATGTTTACAGCAATAATAAATCGCGACGATATATTGGAAAAAAATTTAGTAAATTGAAAAAAAGAGACAGTCTTTATTATATAACTCTCTTAGTGTTAGCTGTTGTGATCGACATCGTGATTAAATTTCTTATTCCGACATACTGCTTTTGGAATTCTAGAAACTCATTCACTTGAATCGTATAACAAATAGATTTTTGCTATAAATAACTAAAGTGCAAAATTCCTCTATTTTCCATATTTCTCTGAAAAGGTAGATATAATCTAGGCGGTACAAATTATTGTTTTAGCATAAATTATTCTGAAGAGGATTTTTATTTGAATACACTTGGCGTCATCTTTTTCTATACGATTCTGAGTTCATTTGGTCAATTTATTTTCAGAATTACTATAATTTCATTCCGTTTGTCTTAAAATACTTTTTAAAGACAAATTCGTTTACATTGTGTTTTGTTTTACAAAGTGCCAAATTCATCGACGTTGATCGGAAACAGGAGCACAAGAAGATACGATAACAGACTTGGGTGGATTCCCGATAATAAGCGCCGGTTATCTTAACCTTGGCCACGCATCCAACGCATTTTCTTGCTTTCATTGCTCCTCAATCCGATTTGCGTTCAACGAAGCAGCCAGTGTTTTAGGAAGGAATGAGCGGTTGGGGTGGGAGACAAGATATAAAGACTTGGCGGCCGATCGGGATAGAAACCAGATATCGTCATGTGGCAGTATCGGACGATCGGCCTTTTGGCCTTATTATTTGCAGCATGTGTCCAAGCACGAGGTAAGTTGCTTTCGTCTTGTAACATCAACTTGTCATCATCAACAGTCTCATTTTTTATACTAATTATTGTAAGATATATTTCGCTTCCATTATCGTTCTTACTGTTTTAATGAGAAATAGTGTATTGTTATAAAATAAAAAGTAGGACTAGTTAGTGTAGTTGTTAGAGAAAAAGAAACTTTCTTGTCAGGAATATATAAAAGAAAAAAAGCTTAAATATATATTTAAGTGTATCATTTCTCATCCTAACATAAAAATTTAATGTGTGTGTGTGTTCAATGCAGCATATATTATACTTATATTTTATTTTACATAACAAAAAAAAAGAGAAAAATCTTAAACAGTAAAATAATAAATAATACGATGTACGTATTATTCTGATTTAAAATTGATATTTAGAATCCATAAGATATAATACGCAAATGTCAATTTATGTTTCCAAGATTTTACCATTAGTGAGACTACGATAATCTTTTCATGACGTAACATTCATAAATATAAGTAAATGTGTAATGCGTGTCTTCCATTCTGCGACATCAGCTTTACGATTGCTTTTTGATCGTAGAAAGCGTATATAAAAACACGAAGCGGTCGCAAGTTTTAGATTTTTTCTGAAAAATCGATAACAAATCTTTATTATAAATACGAAATTTGTTGCAGTCGTATGTAGATAATTGAGTTTGAACTTGAACTCTGATCTAAGATAATTGAACATTTCTCTTAAATGTATTTTAATTTCTTGTAGGCATTAAAACAGTTATACATCTTTGGTCTATAATATGAAGAAGGAAGATTTATAAAAAAAATATGAATATTTTTTAGGTACATGTAATTCTGAGTGTTTGTGATTAATTATTAGAAATTATTTTTTCAGTGATTCTTTTGCTTTAAGTTAAGTTTAACTTACAATTAGTTATAAGGAAACAATCTTTTTAATTTGTTGCAGAAGTCGAATTATTGCGTTCGAGGCGTTATAGCGGAGGTTTATCTTCTAGCAGCGCTAGCAGTTCGGCCAGCGCAGGTTCATTTGGTGGTAGCAGTTACTCTAAATCTAATGCTCAAGCTATCGGCAGTGCTTCAGCAGGTGGACAATCCTCGGCTCTGACAGATGGATACGGAGGCGGTGGTCATGGTGGTTATGGAGGCGGTGGCAGCGGCGGATATGGTGGCGGTAGTCACGGGGGTGGACATGGCGGACTCGGGGGTGGCCATGGTGGTTACGGCGATAGTGGCGGCGGTTTAGGCGGTGGCCACGGTGGTTTTGGAGGTGGTAGCAGCGGTGGCCACGGTGGTTTTGGAGGCGGTAGCGGCGGTGGACACGGTGGATTCGGAGGCGGTGGCCACAGCGGAGGTGGTCACGGCGGATACGGAGACGGAGGTAGTCACGGCGGATACGGAGACGGCGGTAGCCATGGAGGATTCGGAAGTGGCGGTAGTCATGGTGGATATGGAAGTGGCAGTGACGGACACGGAGGCGGATACGGAGGTGGTGGACACGGAGGTGGCGGCGGATATGGAGGTGGCGGACATGGAGGTGGCGGTGGATTTGGCGGTGGACACGGCGGTAGCGGTGGATATGGTAATTAATCTTTATTTTAATTAATTTTGAACAATTTAATCAAGAATAATAATTTGTTTTATTATAACCTATCAAATATTTTATTTATATACTTTATTTAGTATTAATATTTTGCAAATTTTTTCAGGACTCGGAGGCTATCCTGGTAAGTTCAAAATAAAAGAATTTAAATTTCATGTATATAGAGAATGATACGTGTAATAATAATTAGAAGTTAATACTTACAATTAGTAATATTTTAAATTTATATTAGCTTCGCTTTTTTTTGCATCCTAATTTAGTAGAGTAGAGTAGCACGTAAAAAAATACACTAAAAAAATTATGTAGTCTGAAAGTTAACACAGAAATAAGTATAAGCGGTTACAGTCACGCATAACTAATTAGAATTTATTAACCCTTTTTATAGAATATAAATATGCAAATGCTAAATAGAGAGATAATATTAAAAGAGATATAATAATATAACAAAGATAATATCAAAGACTTGGTGTAGTTATTTTAAAATAAATGCTTTTTTTCACAGCTTTTGCTAATATAACAAAAATAATAACTTCTCACAATCTAGTAGGAACCTTTTAATATAGAAAGTTTTTATACACTATACACATTTTTAGATGGCCAGGGTGGTGATGGAGGCGGAGTTGGTAAAATTAGTGGAAGTTTGGGAGGTGGTTATGGTGGGTCTAGCGCCGGCGGCTACGGTGGAAGTAGCGCCGGTGCTGGCAGTCATGTAGGAAGTGGCTCCGGAGGTCACGGGAGTAGCCTCGGAGGATATGGTGATGGTATCTCTAGCGGTGGTGGTTATGGCGGAACAAGTTCTAGTGCAGGTGCAGGTGGTTACGGGGGTAGTGGTAGTATCGGGGGTTTCGGTGGAAGTGGCCATGGCACCGCGGGTGGTTACGGTGGTGCCGGCGCGGGCAGTGCCGGCGCGGGCAGTGCCGGCGCGGGCGGTTCGGGCAGCGGTTTTGGAGGTAGTAGTAAGTCAACATTAGAAAAAATATATAACTGTTTATGCCAGTAGAATTTTTGTAATTAAAATACGAAATATTTCTCTTTTTTAAATTATATATTTTCGTTATTTTATTATAGACCTGTCCAATATAATTCTGAAAACTTAGATTATTTTATTTTTGGACCTCCATATTTTTTTCGAGTTTTGAGACAATTCTATGTAAATTTGACATAAACAGTGATGGCAATCTTGGAAAAAGTATATTGAAAAATTAAGCTAATGCTGATGCTGGTAAATTAGGTGGAGGAGGATTTGGCGGAGGACTTGGACTTGGCGGTGGATATGAAGGAGGTTCAGGTGGACATGGAGGAGGTTTAAGCGGTGGATATGGAGGAGGTTTAGGTGGACATGGAGGAGGATTAGTCGCTGGACATGGCGGAAGTGGAGGTTAAATGATTAGAATAAAAATTTAATATCAATTTAGACGATGTTAATCGTTAGAGATGGATTTGATCATGTTGTAGTCTCATGTCTTAGGTGGATGTGCTAGTGGAGGATGCGGTATTGGCCACGGGGGTGGTAGTGCTAATGCCCAAGCTAGTGCAAGCGCCAATGCCGGTGCTGGAAGTCACGGGGGAGGATATGGAGGTCACACGGGTCTTGGCGGTCACGGACCGGGAGTAGAGTATGTATTGCTAACAAACTATACATAAGTATATACTATATTTAAGGAATATTTCATTAATTTCTAATTTCACTTGCCTATAACTCGAAAACGATTTATGTTGATATCTCGATTTTTTTCATAAAAAATCGTAAAATAAGACTGAAGAAAATATCGATTTCCAATTTGACAATCTGTCATTGAGATTAGTATCTCGGGTTTGGGGGCCCCGAATATTGCGAGAAAGATAATTACAATTAATGATTCGACAATCGTGTAATGATATCAGAACTTTGTATGCGGTGAATCAGTCCGCTTAGAGTTTTCCCAACAGTGAAGATTTCAAGGTGAACAGGTTTCTTATTGTGAAACCGAATGTTTCCGTAACCTACGGTTGATTATGGAAATCGGCAAGACATGGTAATTTATTGAGCAAATATTGATGAGGCATAAAGTCGACAAAAGCGAGTTCAAATAGCAAATGCTAATCACTATTTTTTTAAAGCACTTTATGCACACAGACTTTTCAATATTAAAAAGTTTGTCCATTTCGATGATTTAAAAAAGTGTTGCCTTTTTTTTTCTATAAAACTAATCTTACTGCAACTATTAGAAAGTAAAAAAAGTGTTAAAAAGAAGAAACATGCTTGGAGTTGTCATTCAAAAATTTAGAAGTGCTTATTATGTGAAATAAATTCTCATTTCAAGTCAATTCTCATCTTTATAATACACATTAACTTTTTGATAATCGTTCGATTTTATTTGTAGTCTATTCTCCCGCATCGGTGACACCGACGAAGGCACGAGCCAGAGCGGTACCGTCGAAGGTGCCAAAGGAGTTTACAGCAGCAGCGCGGCGAACATAGACGGTAGCGGTAAAGGTGCTTACTCCGTTAAAGCCGGTAAAATTCCGGCGTAAACCGCGCCTAACTTTTACATCGATTTCGGAAATTGGTTGTTGCTCCGCTAGATAGAGATCTTCTCGACGACTGGAGATGCATAGCTGTGATTACAAACCTATTTCGATATAAACGTAATACAACAACTCAAGGTCTACGATTTATTTATTTCCTGAGCGTCGAGCGTGTTGTGACGTCTAAAGTAAATCCATGGAATTATATAACATTCTCCTGAATGTTTGATTGATGTATCCTGGTCCCAATCAAAGGAAAAACATTATTCTGCGTTCGGCAATTAACGCTGCGACCAATGTCCGAACGACGTAGGAAATACTTCCGACCATTTATCATCGTATTTCTAAATGACTTGGAAAATCTCTTGAAGTGATGTCAAATTAAAGTGTATTAGAGAATTTGAGTCGCCAGTGAATAATTAAAATTAACAGAGATATTGCGAGCGACCTAACTGGCCAAATTTTATTGATTTACAACGCTGCGTTTCGACCGTGGATCCGGTCCTTTTCAAGCGATCTCTCACAAATATATTCGTCAGGCATAATGCCCTAACTGGGCAGACTAAGAGACATTTGTGCACGCGCCTCAGGGAACACCAGGGCGATATCAGAAAGCACAGTAGTAATCATTCCGTAGTGAGCGAACACAGAATGTCTTATGGGCATGATTTTGACTGGGGGAAGCCAGAAATATTACACCAAGAAAGACATACTAGAAAGAGGGAATTAGCGGAGATGTTTTTTATTAAAAAATTTGACGGCACTATCAATTTACAAAAAGACACGGAGAATCTTAACGTTCTCTACGAACATATCATAAAAGAATTATAACTCCTTCCCCTTCTTCGCTACTTCCCTCTCTACGTCCTAGCTTATTACTATACGGCAACTGTTTGTTTTTATATTGTCAAGTTCGTCAGTCTAAATTTTACCACCGCACGGCTCTGACATGACACAAACATCTAACAAAGTATGCCGTTTAACGAATATTTTATATTGTATTGTTTGATCCTGACGCACAAATATGTAAGTTTCTAATTGTATAATTACGGATTTTTGATTGTCTTTTACTTATTGCGAAGTACTGAAATATGTTGTTTAGTTTCTAGATTCGGCGTAGTTAGGGCATTATGCCTGACGAATATATTTGTGAGAGATCGCTTGAAAAGGACCGGATCCACGGTCGAAACGTAGCGTTGTAAATCAATAAAATTTGGCCAGTTAGGTCGCTCGCAATATCTCTGTTAATTCAAATTAAAATGATTTGTTTCTTGATTATTTACTTTCAGCAATGAAAAAGTACAATTTATTTTCGTACCTTATTTAAAATATATACGATTCAATAATATATTATATGTATATGTTATTGTTCCGTTCAGAAATTAGCAACTACGACGTTTTTAGTTTTTATAATCATAAAAATTGCATTTCTATTGAGTTTTCTGCTTCTATTTCTAATTAATTATAGTCAATTGAATCTTAAATCATTTAATCGTCTAGCGTTTTAAAAAGATAAAATTTCTCGATAAAGATATGAATATGACGAATCATCATAAGTACTGATTACGTAAAATCATAACGCCTGTTATGTTGTCTCGCTATTTAATAAGAGAAGCCTTCACTGGCGCACCGTATGTACAATTGCGCACCGTACAATCGCGCACCGTTCAATCGCGCACCGTTCAATCGCGCACCGTACAATCGCGCACCGTACAATCGCGCACCGTTACAATCGCGCACCGTTACAATCGCGCACCGTTACAATCGCACACCGTACAATCGCGCACCGTTTAATCGCGCACAGTTAGATCAAGCGTATCTTAAATATTCATACGTTATGACTGGATACATCTGAGAAACGGCAATGAAGTTTAAGGCAAAACTGGAGAATAATATAATGTAATTATTAATAATTATATTATATCGTTCCGTATAAGTTTGCCTTGCATACCACCGTTTTGACAGATTTACTACCCTAAGAGCAAAAAGTCGACTTTAAGTCGACTTGAAGTCGACTTCCCGTCATGACGGAAAGTCGACTTCCCGCCAACTTTTAAAGTCGATAAAATAAACCGCCGCCGCGTACGTCTGGAGGTCGGTTGTGTATCTTGAAATGAGGTAAAAATGACAAAAGTTAACAGATTTTATTAGATTCTGATAAGTAAAATCGTAGATACGCTAATGAATTTTTTCACTTTTGTAATTTTTACCTCATTATTTCAAGATACACAATCGACCCTTTGCTGGAAGGCTAAAACTGATGCATTTCGATTTTTTTTCATATATAAAATAATTTAATTATCTAAAAAACTGTATAATTACAATCCTAATGTTTTATTCTTAATTACAAAGGCGGCCATTGTGTGCCGTCATATCTGTGCCACTTCTGCGTGCGCGGATTCCGGCAGCCACTTCTTGTAAGCTGACAACAGAACTAAAATTATAAATATATAATATCCACAGACTTTTATACTAGACCATTAACATCTATGGACGCACTGCCGAAAAGCTGATGCGAGTGCGAGGTGCAAGTGTTAGTGAAAGGTGCGGCCATATTGAATTAACAATAAGTCACTATCGGGTGTTCAGTTGCTCATGATGTGCGTTTATCTGCATTCGTTATTACAGTACATAACGAAGCAGGCGAATGTTTTTGTGTTAAATATTGGTACATGTTATCAATAAGTTTGTAAGTCATGCCTTCAACGTGTAGCTACTTGAATGCCGAAATCGAACCACTACTCCTGTAGTATTAAACCCTTTCTTTTGGACATTCTGTATATGCCAGACTATTGTATAGAAATCTTGTATAAAACTACTTGTATAGAATCTGTAGTATAGCATATCTTGACTAAAATCAACATGGTGGCAAGAATCACGGCCGAGATGCCTGTCAGCGGTCTAGTATTGTATAGAAGTCTACTCGATGATAATATCTAAATATTATTTTATAAATTAAAATCTCACATTTTTCATCCAAACCCCAGATTTCTAGCAGTTTGTATTTGGACACGACTCCCTGCGACTGCAACGTTTGTACTATTGCTTGAGTGCGTGGTATCAACCTGAAAAAATCGTATTGAATTGATGTAATCTATTCGATGAATCAACGTGAAATCGAAAGGAGATAGAATAACGATTTACCTGGCCCATGACTTGGTGATGCTCCCAGGTGTCGTCAGCAACGACGGAACAAATCGTTTCAGCTTAGGGTACACTTGACCCTCCAAGAAGAAATACGCGAACCACTTTACACCGTCCACAGATGCTCTATATCCATCGATGGTAGTCCCCATCCGGCCTTTCCAAATGTACCAGACACGCGGCAAATGATCTTCCCGGTTCCTTGATTATATCTATAAATGAGAATAATATTCGATCATAATGAAGATTAATATCTTTATAAATAAATAGGGAAAACATTATAAAGCAACAGACATTAGAAATTACATCAACTGACCAAAACCATGGTCAAAATTAATAATGTCTCGATGATTGATCCGAAAAAGTGCTGTGTGAACCCGACAAACCAAGTTGGCTCACAGTTTTTCAATGTTCATATCGAAAAGACGTTATATATTGCCAGTCACGGTCGATTTAAATTACTTTAATTGTTATAAAGCAACAATTGTGATAAAAATACCTTGGCGGTGGATCAACCAATGATTCACTAAGATGGCATAGCGTGGAAGCAAATTTCGGCAATCATTCGGGTTTTATCGCCGTGACACCTCGCATATACATCTTATTCGTTTCGTACACCTCTTTATAAACCACCTATTCCGGACTGATTTTCCGTAGAACGCACGAAGAATGCATGAACCAGGTTCCTCCATTTCTGATGGTGTTCTGAAAGATGGTTCAGAATAGAGAGGTCGCATTCAATAGGTCTTAATTATCGATGATAATTAATAACACACCATACCTAACCTCTAAAGCATATTTCCACTTGGCCTTATCCTGATCCTCTTTTAGATCCGCCATACCTGCAAGAACTATCTGGCGCAGCAATTTCGCTTCCATGTCGGTTGGTAACGGCATTCTGTAACAATTCTTGTTGTAGACAATGTAGACAACCGTCTTAAACATATTGCAACATACATACAGTCAAATTCCAGTATTCTGATCTAATCGAGGAAGCCAACGGGAAGACAATGATGACGACGACGACGACGTTTCGTGGCGGTGGTTGATAGCGCGGCGCTTTTCGACGTCTTATCGTGTCCTGTCTCGCGGCATGTATTCCTTGCACTCGCGTAAACATTAATTTTCTCCTCCAGCCTCCTCGAGATTCGCCGCCATATTGATGACGCGCCGCTTGACTGCTTTCCGTCTTTTTATAGGGTGTTTACGATAACTAATCGGATCGCTGATCGGACTGAGCAGTGGCACTCAACCGCTAGACTTTTAAATTTCCCCAGACTAATCCGGATCAGTGATCCCTGTCTCACAGCAGCACAGCACTGATCCCGCATGGTGGAAGAAAGTTGACGGAGAAATTATAATTTTATTGAAAGGTAATTCCAGGTAATCCTTTTTATTTGACATAAATAATTGTACGAAACATAAAATAAAGTTAGTAATAGTAATTTTAAATGTATTTATTTTAATATTTTTGGTCTAAACATTGGATTCCTTTTCATAAAATTAATCTATTCCAAAGTTTGAGGTTATGTTGGAAAAGCGTAAAATTAATAAAAAAAACATTTTATTAATTATTAGATAGATAAAAACTGATGACTGATGATTGATGATTGATGATTGATGATTGATGATTGATGA